TCCCTTCGGGATAAGTATCCTCTCACTGCTAAGCTGATGATACCCAACGTTTTCTAAATGTAAACACTGTGTATCATTAAAGTTGAATTCTACAGAAATCAATCCTGGCTGTTCACTGATGAGGAACCTGTGCCTCTTTTTTGTGATACCCATAGATTGTCACTCATTATTACTGAAAACCTACTGCTGACTTTTATTCTTTGATTCATATGTAATAAACTGAGAGCTATTAACCAATATCAACATGCCTTAATTTAAAGGAAAGATTAATGTAATTCTTTACTTCTCTGATTGACATTTCCGTGGATCAAGTGCAACTTTTCAAAATAGCAGCAGATGAGGTTTTGACCAGATCCTCCACGCTATGTCAACTGGTTCCCTGTACAAAAAAAAAAATCCAGGTTCCACATTCCAACTGAAACCTGGAATCTGAGGTTCCAGTTAAAACTTTTAAAGCACTGCATGTTCATGCAGCATCAAACATTTCAGGTTTTGGTGAGTAAGTCACCACCAGGACCTTGAGATAATTTGATTGGGGCATGTTATTAAACATAAATAGTAAAGGGGATGACAGAGTTGTAGGTTTGTAGTCCCAATATTCATTCCACCTACATTCTAGGATTTAATGATCTTGTTCAAGAAGCAGAACGAACCTGTTCTCTAGGGCATCTTGTGGTTTACGCTATTGTATCTCAGATTTTGTTTTGTTTATACGAGATGTAATGATAATGTGATTGATGCAGATTAGTGGCCTTCTTTCAAGTTTGCTTGGTCACTTTGTGTGTTTCAGACTTTTTTATTCAAACACCTAGAAAACATGAGAAGCCAGATCTTTGATAGAAGTAGTAGTTTTAAATCAAACAAACAAAAAAAAAGGATTTATCAGATTATCCTCGCTTATGCAAATAAAGCATGTAACCAGATTTTTGTTAAACTCTACATTAATTATGGATCTTTAACACATAATCTAAAAATATATGGTTTATTTTTCAGTTTTTCCTTAACGTCTTGCTAAAATCTTCTGAACTTCATTATTACACTCCTCTAAACAAAGCTTACTTACTGAGAAAGGAAGAACACTTAAACATGCCGCAAACTAAAGTGGCTATTATAAGATATTGTACTGGTGCTTCTGTTTTGTTGTGTCAAATTTAAATGATTCTGCAACTCAAACCGATGGCTTGGTCACAACATAATCAATTGGGCAAACAAAGCTTCAGAGTATGTGAACGTTCCTCTTGTGAAACAACACTTGCTGGTTTCAAATCAATACATTCCTTGAACCACAAAATAAAAACAGTTCACTGAGAAAGGGGAGGTGGGCTGATCTGAAGTTCAAGGGGTTCTTCCAGACAGTTTTCTTTTTGGGGGTTAGGTGGAGTTTACCTCTCATGGCTTTCATTTGTTTACAGTAGTACGATTCTGTCAATGTGGCAATCATCCAGTGTAAGAACTATGCTAAGCAGCGCCCACATATTCGCAGAAGCATCTACGTTTGCTCTTTCTTTTGAAAACCTCTGCTTTTTGTGTCACTGTCGGTGTTTTCTTGTCCGATTGGAGGTGGTGAGGGGGTCATTGGAAATGCCATGCAGTTATTAACAGAGAACTCTGAAAACCACAAAACGTGATGCACAGAGATGGAGAGTAGCTCTGACAAACCGGTTGCGTTTCGATGAAAAAAAAAGGCGTAAGAAACTTTCCAGACGTGAAATACCGGATGAAAACAAGTCATCATACCGAGTGCAGAAATGTACGGCGTAACTCTACGGCATTTGACTCAGCAATATGCATAGGAGTTTAGTTTTCTGAATTTCCCGACAAATCTTACAGGGATTGGGTGTCCATATTTGGGCAACACTAACTTCATATAATTGTTAGTCTATAGTTCTGCAGTAGTACTTTTTCATACATATCCGCCTTCCTTCTTGTTGTAGTTAGATTTTGTTAACATCCAAAATATTTCAAAATAGCTAACTAAGCATTTGAGCTAAAGCTAGTAACATCAAAGTATCTCTCTCCTCTTTATCCTCCTCCGTCGATCCCCTTCTGTCTGTTCTTTAAAACACAGGCCTTTCCAGCGCTAAGTTGATAATACAAATAGAGCATTAACGCACTGGATATATTATATTAGGCCGTGAGTGTGTACATATCCATCAGCTGAAGGTGATGCCCGGGTCGAACGGACCCCCAGTACTCCGAGCTGCGGTGGCACCAGAGCGAACACTGGTTGTTCAGTCTCCGGAGTATGGAGGCCCAAGCGTCATTCCGAGTTCATGTTTGAAAAGCTTTAAATAAATCACTGACAACTTCTAATTGTTTTTCTATAGCGTAGATAAAGGACTCGTCTTACCTTTGCCTTAGTGATGATGTGTGTGGCTAGTTTAACAACCGCGAAATTTCCCTTGCCGATGGTCCGCTCGATTTCGTAGTGGCCCACTCGGGCTGGAGGGGGCCTGGTGGCCGAAGTGTGCCCGGGAGTAGTGATGCACCCGCTGGCCGTGGTGGTACGACCATTGGGGTTGATCCCAGAGGACGGCGGGGCCCGGTTCTGGGAGACCATTCCTGCGTGGGTCGGTCGGGCAGGGTGCGTAATTGCAGCCGCAGCGGACCCAGCAGCACCTCCGCTAGACACGGCCGCCATCTTCTCGCCTCTCTGCGGGAACAACAAGCAGCCCTGCGCAGCGCGCATCGCGGGCACGCCCCCGCCCTGCGTCATTTTACGTGAAGGGCTCCTCCGCAGCGCCCTCTCTAGGTTGTAGCCATGGCAACGATCGGCGTAACAAATGACTTCATCCACGAAAACGTATTTTGGTTGCCGTGGAGACAGAGAAGTGCGCATTATCACTTTGGTTCCCATGATTCAGTGATTCCTTACAAAAGTGCTGCGCTATGTGCGATCAGAGGGCTTCCTGAAGCTTTAAAGGTATAAGCCATGTCGACGCCACAGACTAAATGAACCAATGTTGCTAATAAAACATATTCAACTCCACTGAGAGATAAGAACTATTTAAACAAAGGAAGTATTCATAGACTAAGGCGGTCAGTTCAGCACGACTCTGGTGGGACAAATCAGTAATCCATGCGTTTAACACACAGATAAATTAAATAATACGGAACAAATACAGTTTTATTTATACTTATAGAACCACGAATATAAGGACTATCTTCAAAACCTTCGCTTTGGAGGCAAACGTGACTAGTGTGCAAAGAAACGGCCTTGACATTCGTGGGGAAGGATGGGAGGGGATCTTTTCAATGGTGCTTTGTTGAATGTTTTGGCATTTGATAGATAGATAGATAGATAGATAGATAGATAGATAGATAGATAGATAGATAGATAGATAGATAGATAGATAGATAGATAGATAGATAGATAGATAGATAGATAGATAGATAGATAGATAGATAGATAGATAGATAGATAGATAGATAGATAGATAGATAGATAGATAGATAGATAGATAGATAGATAGATAGATAGATAGATAGATAGATAGATAGATAGATAGATAGATAGATAGATAGATAGATAGATAGATAGATAGATAGATAGATAGATAGATAGATAGATAGATAGATAGATAGATAGATAGATAGATAGATAGATAGATAGATAGATAGATAGATAGATAGATAGATAGATAGATAGATAGATAGATAGATAGATAGATAGATAGATAGATAGATAGATAGATAGATAGATAGATAGATAGATAGATAGATAGATAGATAGATAGATAGATAGATAGATAGATAGATAGATAGATAGATAGATAGATAGATAGATAGATAGATAGATAGATAGATAGATAGATAGATAGATAGATAGATAGATAGATAGATAGATAGATAGATAGATAGATAGATAGATAGATAGATAGATAGATAGATAGATAGATAGATAGATAGATAGATAGATAGATAGATAGAATTCTGATATTCTGATACCTGGAAATCCAGCACTTGATCGATGTAAAAGAAATTAAAATAAATAAAAAGACAACATTGATATACACTTATATTAAATGTACAAATAACATTTAAAAGCTATCATTTCTTGTTGCAGTTTTAACCTGTTGTTGTGACTCACTAACCAAGTTGTAGACACTGCCATCTATTGGCAGATATGGGTTCTTGCAACAATTTTGACTGCACAAAGCAGCCATTTGCCATTAACCAAACCTAAACAAGGACATTTTATGTGAGGATGTGCTGCTAACTGCGAGTGAGTTATTGTTTCAAAACAGCAACTGGCAGTCAGAAACACTTATCCGTTCAATCTTTTCACAAAGAGGAATATCACATCCATCAAGCAAAGAACTAGAGCAGAGAGATTTCTTAAATCAGTTTTGTCATTCAGATCTTTTATCATAGAATACCCTCAATACATACTTCGTTGTTTCATTAAATTCTTTGATCTAGACTTTGAATTGATGCCATCACTGCAAATACATAAGATACAAATGTATGTGTTACTCGATCGAGAACAAAAATCAATTGATCTTTTCTGCCATCATGAAACATAATTTCAAACCATCAACAAACTTTTGAATAATTTTTTAAAAGTATTTTATGGAAACTTTATGGTTCTTATGAAGTATTATGTATTCACAATATGTGTTGTGCATTTATTCAACTTCAATGCATTTAACTTGAATCTTAGTTTTCTGTATTTTTATTATTTTATTTTAAATGTAAATAAATACACGTCATATGAATTAAGTCTATTAGAATTACAGATCTGATCTGCAATTCAGATCAAATTAATTTTTGAAGTTTATTTATGACTGGTGGTTATTTGCTGTTGGTTAAGCTAAACTTTATCCTGATTCATTACTTTATGTGCCTTGTTATTCAGCTTTGTTTAATGCCATTTGCATAAGCTTAAATATCTTTATTTTTTCAATTAAATTAAGTTGAATTAAATTAAATTGTTGGCACGTCAATTTCCAATCGTGAAGGTGTTCCGCAGTGACGTCATCACGTCGCGTGGCGTTTTGTTTACTGTTAGAGCGTGGAGGAGGGGGTTGCGCTAATGGAACGGATTTTTCGAAGCTTGTACAGCTTTTAGACGATAAATATTTTCACCTGGTGCTGGCGTCTTTTAACGTAGACGTCAATACGTGTTAAGAAGGAGGGCAGAATTAGTTAGCTCTAATGCGCGGTTCCGTATTCCCGCAGTCTTCCTAACCGACTTAGAATCCGCGGATTTCAATCCTGGCGTCCTAACTTGCGAGCTGTTAGCACGAACGCGGGGGTCATTGTTGCGTCGTCGTCTTGAGTTTTGTGTTTCTGGTTGCATAGCTGCGAGCTCAGAAGTTGTTGTCGGTGCTGAACTGAATGAGAACATTTAGCTGTGTGTTTAGTTTGTCAAGCAGCTCGCAGCAGCTGGCGCTTCTGCTCTTTGTCAGTGTGGAAGTGGCCCAGTTCATCAGGACATCTCGGTTTAACTGCTCCTTAATGGGGTGGGGTTATTTATTTGCTTTGCCATACAGGCTGCAATAAGCTAAGCTGTCGGTTTTCGGTTGAGGAAGACGGTGTCAGACAAAATGGTGTTAAGGAGCTACTGGAAATGTCGTCTTAAAAGCAGCTGTTTTCCTGCGCCTCGCTGGATACGGCCAGGGCTGGCAGCTTTGTTCTGGTTCTGTGTGACCCAGTTAGTGTGTGGCGCTGGGGCGCTTGGAGAGGTTAAATTTGTGATACAAAAGGATGCAGAGTTTGATGTCACCTATAATGACACGGTTATAAGCGAAAACCAGACCATGTATTCGTTCAATCACACCATCTCCAGAAATAAGGTGAGTTTATTTCTTTACATCTTAAGATATGGTGTCCAGGTAATGATTTGGTCATTCAATAGCTTCCTTGTTCCTTTCTTTGACTTTCAGACAGAGGGGGTGCGTGTGACTGTAGATGTGTTGCAGCAGCATCTGGAGAGTCCTATTCTGTTTGTTATTCGGCAAAAGCAAGCTGTGATGTCTTTTCAAGTCCCCCTCATCCTCAGAGGCCTGTGAGTAACTCTCACTTTTCTAAGTTTAATGTCAACTCTAAGAGGATTTGTTTTCAACAAAACAAAAATTGGTTAAAGACAGTGCACTCTTTAAGGACATCCACTTTATTTACAGACATAATTACAACTTCAGGTCATATGATAGAACACTGTAAACGCTACCTGTGCCTCCTATAAATGTTTCTTCAAAAGTCTTCATAACCTATGAACACAGACTACCACAGATTCTCTCTAGTATTCAGGTCTGTGCATTATGTCTAATGTATGAATTTTATTTTGATCATTTCATGTATGTATGTCCAACATACGTTCACAGTTGTATGTTTGTTGAACATATCAATCAATCCTGAACCCATACCAAAGGATGGCAACCCTACAGCCATGACTTGGTACTTCTGCAGTTGTGTCAGACGTTTTCCTATTGAAGATGTTCAGATTCTGGGATATTGTTTCATATCTTAACTCCGCTGTAAACTTCACAAAGTCACCTCTGATCTGTCTGCCATTTCTTGGTCTTCATGTTGCAATTTGCTTCCTAAATTTCTCTACTCTGTTTACAAACAAGGTGATTTCTGAAGGCATTCGGATGCACAGTTTTTATTTTAAGAACTTCAGTGTAACCGTGTCAAACAGTCCTCTGTAAACGAAAACAAAGAAAGAAAAGAACGGTTTTCTTCTGCTAGAGATTAGCAGGCACTCATGTAATTTCACGTAATCGGGGGAGTTTTTGTGCTTCCTTCAGCAGTTTCTTTATATAATCTTTGTCTTGTGTCTTTTGGTTGTGCAACTTCAGAATTACCTTGTTGCCCTTTTGCTGTTGCAGCCTCCTGGACAGACATGTTCCTATGGCTCATTAACAAACTTTGAACTTTCAGTTCCTCCACTCACTTGGAGCCACCAGGACAGATATGAGGAACCTCTGTTCTTGGAAATGAGAAACTTTAGAATATTTTCCTGCCTGTTGTCACATTGTACAATGTGGTATGTGTGTTGTATGGGAATTTGCAACAAAGGTGGTTTTGGTTATCAATTATTTATCCATATACTATAGAACTTAAAGATCCACTATTGGAAAATATTTTAAAATGTCTCATCATTTTGTAAAATAAAAGACATAGAAGCCCTGTTATCCTCTGTGTTTATTAGCCTGTGTTCCTGTGTGTCAGCTATCAGAGGAAGTACCCGTACAAACACGTGGGCAGAACCTTGTGTCAGCCTCCAACCCGAGCCGCATCCGAGACCCAGTACTTCTTTGTGGACGTGTCCACCCTGTCGAGCCAGGGGACAAACTACCAGTTGCGAGTGAGCCGTGTGGAAAGTTTCACCCTGCAGTAAGTTATATGACTTAGAGTTTCTCTATATGGCATTTATGTCTCAGTGTCAACAAACAGCTTCTGGTATGCCTGACATGCTGTATTTAACTCAATTACAGGACAGACAGGAAATTCAGCTTTACGGCATCACCTTCCCAACCTCAGGTAACCCAGGTTTAGGTTTGGAATAATGAATGTTGCTATCCAAAATGATATTTATTGCAGCGATAGCAATGTCCTCAACAGATAAAGTATCAGCATGGGTGGAGTGAATGTAAGATAAATAAAAGACAGAAACTTACATTTCCCAATGTGAGTGTCTGTCCTTGTGTGCCAAAAATTTAGAGTATTTGGCACACAAAAACTTCAAAAAAGTTACATTTTTGGTCAAGGAGGAATGGTAATTTCTACCATAAGAAGTAAAAATACATTAAGAAGACCAAACACTGAGCATCTTCAGTGTAGTGATTATTTAAGCAAATGTCTGAAATGTAAATTAAATATATATCTCCTAACTCTTTTCTGAAATGATGAGCAGATAAACCACACGTCACTACTACATCACTCCCTCATGTCGCTAAAGCTAAATGTAAAAATGTACTCCAGGCAGCAAAATAAACTGTTCTTTTTCAATTCTTTGCAACTCATGGTTTACTTGGGCAGGTTGCCAGTGTAGTTCTAAAAGGAAACAATTTGTTTGACTTCTATCATGCAATAACTGAAAGCAAATGGAATTTTATTGGTTCTGCAAAGTGATGTTGCTGCTTTGTTTCTTTATTGTAATGACAACATAATAAGTTATACTGGATTGGTGGAAGGTGCTTTCAGGTCTTTCCTCTTAGTGTTCATCTTTTACTGTGATAGATGCATAAGGCAGCACATGTAGGTCCAATTGTTTCTGCTCTATATGGATGATTAGTTTTTGCCTGTTTTGGTATATTTCTCAAATTAAAATTGAAAGTCTTAAAAGTACTAGTTCTATCTTCACAAATTAGAAACTGAGAAAAATCAGTTTAATTTCTTTGAACAAGTTACAAATGCTTTTGTTTGTCCATGCAAGTGATTATGTGCAATTTTCTGCCACTTTACACATTTTTAATTGCTTGTCCTATTAACCAAAATGTATTACATAGGTCTTTGTTGAATAGTCTCAACCTCCACACAACATTTAAGCATACGTTACACAGGTCATCATGTGCAACATGCTTGAAAATGTCATAATACTTAAAATGTATTTCTATTCATTTTCATTAGACTTTTATTTTTCCTAAATCTATCCTGAATTGGCAATTTGCTCCCAGGTGAATCTTGAAGGTTCTCTAAGGTTTTTCTAAGGTTTTTTTTTTTAAGGTTTTTCAAAGTCATGTTAAAACTGTTAAAATGTTTTTGTATAATGGCATTCAGGAGGCCACAAGTGTTACACTGGTGCAACACTTGTAAAAAGTGTCGCACATTATAAAATGTAATCTTACCAGCATGGATCACGCTACAGCTCTTACGGTATATCAGATTACCAGAGTGACTCCATTCATCTGCTCTCTAATTCCGGTTTACCTCTCTTTCTTTTCTCCCAGTTTTTTAAATATGTCTTTCCTGACGGGGTGGATACAGTCATTGTCAAGGTCAACTCAGACGTGAACTTCCCCTGCTCTGTCATGTCTGTCCAGGACATCCAGGTATACAATTTGGGGCTGCCATGCGTTCTGTGTATTTTCTCTATCTCCTTTCTATATGTTCCTTTTCACAGCAGACGTCTCCTTCCAATGTTTTCCATTTGTGTTTTTGACAGTTGTAGCATTTTTAGACCACTAGAGGTCACCATAGGGGCACCTGCATAATTTTGTTTCACTGTTTTAACATTAATTTTACATTATCGAAACTGAAAAACGTTTTTCTCAATGTTTTTTTTGTCTTTTAAATGAAATTGTCTTTTTTAATGCAAGTTTGGATGAAGGAAGCATTTTATTTTCTCATTCCTCTCCTTATAGTGTCCAGTCTATGACCTGGACAACAATGTGGCCTTTATTGGGATGTATCAGACTATGACAAAAAAAGGTGCCATCACCGTGCAGGTATTTGCTTTTAACATTGCACTAAATCCAACATTATTTTCCCCAACTATTGTGACAAAGATCACATGAAATATCTCCACATGTCACTCTATTTTTAATCCAGAGAAAGGATTTTCCTAGCAACAGTTTCTATGTAGTAGTCGTGGTGAAAACGGAGGATGAGGCATGCGGCGGCCCGCTGCGTTTCTACCCCCTGCAACCCGATGAGCTAATTGATGCTGGTAACCGCACCAAGGACCTCAACGTGGTGGTCTCACCTGCCATTAACTGTAAGCCACATATTAAGATGCATCATGTAAACTACATTCAAGATCTTCATCTTTTACATTTGTTAGATAAAATACTGAGCTTTGCTAAATAATAGTTAGGAGTGTGACAAGACAATGAAATGTCTCATTGGCTTTAAAATGAGTGTGTGTTTTCTTAAAATGAGTGTGTGTTTTCTCTCACAGCTGAGAAGTATGTCATCGGCATGCTGTTCTGTCTGGGGATCTTCCTGTCGTTCTACGTGTTGACTCTGCTGGTTGCCTGCGTGGAAAACAAACGGTGACATTTTTCACTTGTTTCACCTCCCAATGTTAATCAACTGCTTGATAAGTTCATATAGATCTAAATCACCTTTTAAAAAGTTGGGCTCAAATTTGAAATATATTTTTGGCTCAATCCCATGAAGAAGTAATTCATAGTTGATTAAGTATTGCTACTTAATAACATTTGAATGCCTTATTGTAACTCACAAATGAAAGTGACATAAACACACAAGTGTACTGACTTAAGCATAATTACTCAGCTTCCTCAGCATGTAGTTCCTGAGCTGCAGTAATGAAGGCTACCTGAATGATTTGCTTTTCAATAATGTCTGTAAAACATTATCAACATTCATTTAGTTGACTTTAATAAGAAAATCAGAAGACACTGGGTGAACTATTTATTTCTTTCCAGATGTTGGTGTCTGATTTCTTAGCTTTAAAGATCTAACTTCTCTATTTCCCTAGATAGCCAGGAAGTGTATACAGTTTTTTTCACAATTGTCATGAGATGTATCTTAATTCAGCAATTAGCTGCTGTACCGAGATAAACCTGACCAGAGAGTTGAATTATTACCTGAAAGTCTCCAGTCATTGCTTATCGATGACTGTGAATCTGCACACAATGAAGGAAACTATGTTGAACACAATTTTAATGATTTTTGTTTTTCTGCAGAATGAAAAGGAGAGAAATGTTTCTGAACCCCCCGGACATGTCGCCTGCTGAGACCGGTAGCCAAGCATCTAGCTGATTTAATTATTTATTTATTTTATCTTATAAATGTATAATTATCTGAAATATTTTATCCAATTTCTACATTTTTCTTTTGAATATAGCTCTAAATGTTATTGTTACTCATTGTGTCTTTGACCTTCTCTCCCTGTGTGGTTCAGCCTCCCTTCTTGGGAAGAACGGCGACGGTATAACGTCACTCTTCTTGTGCACTTGCTGCTCTTTCTCACTTGTTTGGCTTGTCTGCAGTCACTCTGCATGCATTAGCTTGCACACCTAACCTCACCAGAGTTGAAGCATCCTCTATTGAAAGAAAGTGCCTGATAGGTTGCTGAGCTCTGTGAACTGTGCATCAGCATGACTGCAGCATGGTTCCTAGAGTTTCGTTTTATGACCTCAAACAGATAAGCATGCAAGCTCTCCTCGGTGCTTTACAGGTTTGACCGATGGCTAATGCACATTGTCAGGAGTTATTAAAATTATGACGATGCTGCAGATTTATAGAGACTACAGTTAAGATAAAAGATTAACACTGATGTGTGTCTGGAGTTCAAAACTGACTCTCAGTGTGTTTCTGTTTGGTACACTAGTGTTTGCTGGCATGAGTTTTATGAGAAAGCTCACAATTTCTGCAGTTCATAGTCAACATGGGAAAAACTGCATCTTCTTTGTGCCATCTGTCACACATAAAGTGCCCTGCAGTAGTTTGTTTGTAGTAACTAACACTGATCAGAACTTCACAAAACCTCACTAACTTTTTGTACGTTGTCATGTTTCAGGCACAAATCTGATACTTGAGAGAATTTTATTGAAATTGTATGTGACACACTGACACAGTCTCACACCTAAATGAGAGATCAGAAGGGAGAAACCAGTTTTTAGAGGAAAAATTGAATGGCTTATGACCAGAGAGCCTTTCCTGCCAGTCCAGCTAAACAAAATTTGTTCAGAGCTATAAAAGCTACAAATTATCTTATTTCTAATTAAATGACAATTTTATTGTGTTTTTGAGGTTATAAAGAAAATGATCAAATTTGCATATACAATAAATTAATTAATGTTAAAACCAAAAGATTAAAAAAAGACTTTGTAAAGAACACTATTCCTTACACTATTTTTGTCATTCTTTGGGGAATTGCTATGGTTAGCATCTTCTAACATTACCTAGATTTTAAAATATTGTTCAATTCATCAGCATTTCATGCCCAAAGGTATTGAAGGACACAGTAGAGGGTGTAAAGAGCCACATGTGGCTAGATAAAAGTGTGTTAGAATGTCATTGTCCAGACTTAAACTGTGACTGAAAACAAACACACACTACATGTTTTCAGAAATTGAATAATACAAACCAATATGTTCATGTTTGCTTCCGCTACCTCTTCTCCATTATGTGCTACTTTGTCGGTGTGTCCCAGAAAATCCCCCAAAAAACACTTTAAAGTCCATGGTTGTAATATAAATACTTTTGCAATGCATTCTTTTTTTTTTTTTTAACTATGCCAATATTTTTTTACTTTTGACCCTTTCAAACAAATCTCAACAATAATTCTGTGTCCAGACTTATATGTGTTTGCACATCTGTTGTATATTGTGTGTTTTGGACTAACAGCTCATGTGCCATGTGTTGGTAGTGAGAGATATGGAGAAACATAGTAGTGTCAGTGTGTTTAATGTGTGGGATTTGTTTTGAAATAGTCTCTATTGGCTTTTTAAATGTGTTTATCTTTGTCGCAGGCAAAACTCCAGCCTCTCCGTATGAATATGGCTCCTTTGGTGAGTTGGGGGCTGGTATCTGTTACTAATCTCTTAGCTCTGTTGGAGGTTGTCCAATCAACACATTTTCTTCTTCCAGCTGACAACGGCAGCACCCTGAGCTCCGAGGCCATCACTGACAGCGCCACATCAACGGACAACAACTATGGCTACTTGGGTATGAGCTCCAACAGACACAGCTGTTATTTTCACCTCACCATTCTCACCCTGAAGCATTTTGTAGTGGCATGGAGCACCTCGGGTCCCTCACTGCTATTCTGTGTTTGTTCATCAGGACAGGAGCCTTTCAAACGCCGACCATTCCTCAATCACCTTCACCACTTAGCCATCCGCATTGGTGACACCCTGCCACGCAGTTTCCCAAATTACTCCCCAGATTTGCTCCAAACCAATCAGCACTTCACTAATCACACACCAGATTTCAGATTTTATTCCAGATATTATGCCATGCAACCCAAATTAAATGTGAAGTGATTCAGTGTGCCAATGCAAATAGTTTTTTGAAAAATTTGTGATGCATTTAAGCTCTCGGTCATTAGTTTGCCGATACCTTTACTTATCCGATCATCAAATTGCTCACAGTCTGTATCCAGTCGGCTAAGACATCTCTCTGTCTCTCTTCTGTTCAGAGCGATCACTGGACAGCGTCGCACGAAGCAGGCAGGAGTCTTTAAGTTCTGTGGAGGAGGACGACTACGACACGCTGGAGGATATCGACTCGGATAAAAACATTGTCCGCACCAAGGTGCACATCATCATCACAAACATGCTGTAGATCAACAGAAAGTAGTGTGGAAGGGAAAAAAAAGACATGGTTTTATTTCTTTAATCTCAACCCCTCTTTACTCTAATACTCTTCAGTAAATCCAGTGCACAAATTTACCTTAAAAATTTAACCAGAAACGTGATTAATTTTCATTAGTTTGTTAGAGAACCGAACGATGGATTGAATTAATTAGATTAAAGCATGTTCATAGCCCAGATCTGAATTAAGTTGAAACTTTGTAAGACTTAAAACTGGTAACTGATATTCACCATCAAATCTGACCGAGTTCATCTTTCTGTCAAGTCATCCCTCCTGATGAACTCTGATTCATTTTCCTTATCACAGAAGTACCTGTGTGTGTCTGACCTGGCTCGCAAAGACAAAAGGATCCTCAGCAAGAAATACCAAATCTACTTCTGGTGAGTTCACTGCTGAGATAGCTGGTAGTGCGTCAAGTCCTTGAATCAGCCATGATTGTTATAAAACAAAGGCTTCTCACACTGTGGACATCCTCAGGACATTTTCACATAGCAAGAACTCTTAGAGAAGATCTGGCACATGTTGATGTTCAGGTGCAACTAACAATTATTTCAGGCATGACTTTTTGTGACTATTAATTGATTTTTCCAATATAAACATTGACACATTCTGCAGATTTTTCATTTCACTACTTAATCCTTGTTTATACATTAGAAACATATTAAAATATGCAATAAACAAATAATTTAGACACGAAAATAAAAATTGTATGGCATGAAATGCAATAGCATTGCATTCGATCATTGGTAGCAATGGAAGCACCTGCAGCTACAAACAAAAACCAAACATCAACATGTAACTCAGTCCTTTTTGCTGGACTGAACATCAATACAGTGTAAGGCTTGTTGACTAACATTTGGATTAACCAATTAATTGAACAGAAAAAGCTGATTATTAGGAGTTTCTTTTTCAGAATTAGAACCAGATGAAGCTAAAATTGCCACTTATGGAGTTCTGGGTGGAAAATTGTATATATTTGAACAGTTTTGGCTTAATTATTACTCTGACTGTATTTATTTCACCAAATGGCCTTTTGAGCCTGGATACTCCAGCTAACAAATAATCATTAAATTGGCTGATTATTTCAAAAATTGATTAATGAATTAAAATGATTAATCGTCTCAGCCCTGGTTGATGTAATTGAACGAGGGTAAAAAGAGCTCTTCGTATAGATCAGATGGAGCCAAGAGACAATTATTTAACTATTTCATCCATGACACTTTGTTCACCATGGCTACCTCGTTAACATTTTATAGATCAAAATGTAGACTGATAATTAGCATCACAGTCTAATAATTGTTCTCTCCTCAGGAATATTGCCACTATCGCAGTGTTCTACGCACTGCCAGTCGTCCAGCTGGTCATCACATATCAAACGGTGCGTTGGTGATGAACAAACATGGCTGCTCAAACGGCCTTGGAAACATTCTTGTGGTGATTTCATGTTTGGTCTTCAGGTTGTGAATGTGACAGGAAACCAGGACATCTGCTACTACAACTTCCTCTGTGCTCACCCTTTGGGAGCTCTAAGGTGCGTATTTATTCATGCTTCCACTATTGCAGCAGTGATGCACACACTCAGCTGGCTGCGTTAAACCTTGTGTGTGCAGTGCGTTCAACAACATCCTCAGTAACCTTGGATACGTGATGCTGGGACTCCTCTTCCTCCTCATTGTCCTCAAGAGAGACGTCACACACAATCGCGCGTTGGTTCGCAACGACCTCAACGCTCTGGTGAGGCGCCTGCCACCAAACTGATGCTTGATGCACTGTTTGTTGATGTTCTAAGCTGTACATTCCTCCATCCTGAGGTTCTGTTTAATATTGTAGCACAAAAGGTGACATGTAATGAATGTGTCACTTCCTATTAAACAGGGAATATATGAGCTGAAATAGTCGTTTCAACACATTTTCTGTTTCTTCTGCAGGAGTGCGGCATCCCAAAGCATTTTGGTGTGTATTATGCCATGGGAACTGCTCTGATGATGGAGGGATTGCTCAGTGCGTGCTATCATGTCTGTCCCAACTACACTAACTTCCAGTTTGGTGAGACATTCATCTTTGTTCTCCAGTCACATGAGGATTCATTGTTGCTATTTCATGTTTGTTTTCTCTAGATCCTGCCACATACGATAGTTGTAAATCATTGAAGGTTGACAATAAGTGGAACTAAGTCTTCTATAGAAACATTGCCTGCTCTAACTCCTGACTTGCCATAGATGTGTGTCTTGAGTGAGATGGGTTTATACAGATTATTGGCAAAAGATGGTTTATTTGGGGTTTAGCAGGAAGATTAAGTCTATAAGTTTACTTTAAGAAAAGATAAGAACTATCAGTTGCATGTTAAACTGTTCCCAGTATTTTAATTGGTTAAAAAAAGCCAGTGTCAATATTTTCCAGAACAATATCTGTAGTCATTCTGCTGCCCCACAGACACGTCCTTCATGTACATGATTGCTGGGCTGTGCATGCTGAAGCTCTACCAGAAGAGACACCCCGACATCAACGCCAGTGCCTACACCGCCTACGCCTGCCTGGCTGCTGTCATCTTTTTCTCTGTGCTGGGAGTGGTATGCTCACACACACCTCACAAAAGCTGCGGTCCAGCTCTTGTTAATTGTATGCATCGCTGTTTAATGATTATTGTGGGCTGTTGTGGAATTGATTTTCATTTTTTTTTTTTTTTTTTTTGGTTTTTGCAGGTGTTTGGGAGAGGAAACACGGTGTTCTGGATCGTTTTTTCTGTTATTCACATTCTGGCCACTCTGCTGCTCAGCACACAGCTCTACTACATGGGCCGGTGGCGACTTGGTAGGATCACAGCAAGAAACCAAACACACTCAATCAAGATGGATGAAATTTAGTCTATTTATTAATCATAAGCAGTTTTACATTTTATTTTTATTTAACATTTTATATTACTTTCAGGTAAAAAGTGCAACAGCAGAATTAATGTTTTAAGTAAAGGCTTGCGTGACGCTGCTGCTTTCAATGATAATATTTATTTCTACAACTTTATATTTTATCACTCCATTATAAACTTCAGAGCATTTTATTGAGATTTTATGTGACAGCAGTTATTGAAGGTGAACCTCTGCTTTACTTGTTGTTCACAGTCACAGCTGGTTTAATTGAATCCATCTGCTCCATTTTCTCATGCCAGTTTTGCTCTCATCTGATCTCATCTCATCTTCATTCATGCTCCTTGTGCCACTCGACACAGTCCTCTGACGCTGTGACTTCTGGCTTTCATTTACTTTCTGTTTTATACTCTTCCATAAAAAACATTTGTGGAGTGAACAATTAACAACTGCTGGCAGATTTTTACCTGAGCCATGGCTCTCTGTAGTTCCTCCAAAGTTACCTTTGCCCTCTTGAATGTCTCTGACCAGTGATATCAGTGAAGTTTGTGATCCAACCATATCAAAGTCCCTACGCCACACTTTGTGAGCCACATGTAAGATTACGTTGAGGTAGGGGCAAAGGTTTTATTCTGACAGTTAAAGCAATCAAAGGTCAACCAATTATTTCTAATGAGTTTGCAGTGCATAATAAAAGCTGGGGTTTTTTTCTCTTCAGCAAACTAAACATTGAAAATTATCACCCACCAATCAGTTATTTTTCTCAACTAAACACAGTAAAAGTTCTCTCTTTTTTATTATTATTATTGTTTATTTATTTCATTCTCTTTTTGTAATTTTGTCCACTAGATGCTGGTGTCATGCGCCGGATCGTCTATGTGATCTACACAGATTGCATCAGACAGTGCAGTGGACCCATGTACATTGTGAGTTCAGATCTAAAGACTTTGCAGCAAAAATTGACATAAAGAATTAAAGATAGTTAGATTCATTGATGACCTCTGGACTGACTAGTTGGTACATGTTGGCACCTCCCCCTCTGCCCTGTCTTTGCCTTTCAGGACCGTATGGTGCTACTTGTTATGGGTAACATAGTCAACTGGTCTCTGTAAGTAAACACACCGTGTCTGACTTTGATTAAGTGCTATAATGTGGAGTTTTATCTGGATTGGCTGTTTGCTCTCCACAGCGCTGCCTATGGCCTCATAGAGCGACCCAATGACTTTGCCTCATACCTGCTGGCCATCGCCATTTGCAACCTGCTGCTCTACTTTGCCTTCTACATCATTATGAAGGTGTGTGCGCACGTGTGCATTAATGCAACCAGCATCAGATATCAAGATTCGATTTGATTATTGTCCCTTTTTGTGTCTCTTCAGCTTCGGAGTGGTGAGAGAATCAAGTGTCTGCCGTTGGTGTGTATTCTCTTCACAGCAGTGGTCTGGGGCTTTGCACTCTACTTCTTTTTCCAGGGACTCAGCACCTGGCAGGTCAGCGACACACTGATCATATTATTTGTGTATGATTGAATAAAATGTACGGTTGGAAGGGCTATAAACGGCTGATGTGTAATTGTTTTTAGGGCTGCGACTAATTATTTTAGAACTCGATTATTCTGACAAATATTCTCAATCATGTAAAACAATTAGCGCTGCAGATTTGTTAAACAATATTACAAATGTATAAAAACATACAAATGAACAAAAAATTCAGTTCCTTTATAAAATAAGGAAATTAACATTTTATTGGCTGTTGTACCCTTGATTATTTGTAGCAAAAGAAAAATGCTTCTAACATGGAAGTGATCCTGCTCAACTCAGCTCCGGTGCAGAACCCTGATGGGTTTTTTTTCCCCAACAGAACTCAAACAACATAAAACTGAAACTATGCTACTTTAATTCTAAATAAAACATATTTACAGAGGGTTCTTTAAATATTAAATCCAGTGTATGTTTTGTCCAGTTTTGGATTAATTTCTGCTTTGAATATGTTTTTTTTTTTCAGCCAATAGCCTTTTTTGAGTCTATATTCACCAGTTTATGATTAATCGATTGCTCATTTAGTTAATGATTATTTCCATAATCAATTCATCAACCCAAATCGCTTTCTTTCCCAACGCAGAAAACTCCAGCAGAGTCTCGCGAACACAACAGAGACTGCATCCTGCTGTCGTTCTTTGACGACCACGACATTTGGCATTTCCTGTCCTCCATCGCTATGTTTGGATCCTTCCTGGTATGTCTGTTGGTTGTTTCTAATCAGGACAAAATGGTGATCGTTTAAAGCCAGTGCAGCACTCGACACATTTTGGAGTTGGAATCCCTCTTGTCTTCCCCTCGTAGGTCCTCCTGACCATGGACGATGATCTTGACACTGTTCAGAGGGACAAGATTTACGTCTTCTGAATCTGTTGGGTCTTCTTTCAGAAGCTCAGCTCATCTTCTCTGCCTTATCACTCGTTTTCTCTCTGTTGGCATCTTGTCCATGTCTGCAAAAAGAAACAGCCAGTAGCCTGATGCTCCCCAGGCGGTCAGTAAGCATGTCTCCGCCTGTCGGAGCCAGGCTGGGGACACTCGCGTGCCAATCCTCAGCTGGGTCAACATGGAGTGGTCCTGAAGCGTTTTGGCCTCCTGCTGCTATCATCGATGTTACTGTCGCTCTGCGTGTTTACGTACTGCTGCTGATGAAGACGACAATGCAAACTCTGAACTCTTTTCTCCATTCTTTTTATATATGGTCCTTATTATGGTCGAAACAGCAGAGAACGATGCATTTTGTATGCTGTGTGTGGTTCTGCAGGGTTGTGTGTGTTTACAAACCGGGGGAGCGCGAGTTCATGTCCAATCTGCCAGTGGCCTTCCGTGTCTCGAATCACGTCAGTCAGACCACTGTGCTCCCATTGGTCAGCTTGTTAAAACTAGCCGTCCTTTAATGATTGTATTTACTATTTGACTGCCCTTGTGTGTGTGACTGCGGAGCCGGTTTTTTGCACTGTTCTGTACAAAAAGTAGATTTTATTGTCGAGCATTGAAATGAGTGGTTACTAAATAAAAGATTCTTTTTCACAAATGGAACTGTTTTCATCTATTGCCTTCATTATTTATTTCTTCTCTTTGAATTTACCCATATTTTCTCAATATAACCACAAACTTTAATGTACTATATTGGGAATTTATGGGATGCAGCAACACAAAGTAGATGGAAAATGGTCCAAGAGTTCCTTGCCTGTATACGTGCAAAGTCCATCACCTTCACACATATACAGACTGAAAATTATGTTCTTCACAAACAACTTTTAAAACATCATTTTAAGGGTTTTTTTTTTTTTTTTTGTCAAAGGATAAATATTTTAAGTTCCCCATTCTGTCAGTCTCACCTGAGCTATGAACCTTTAGTAGCTCCTCCAGAGTCACCATGCCGTCTCTGGTTTCTGCCGGAGTTTTTGCTGTTCCTGGGTTTATTCCAATACATTTCATTGAAGTTTTTAGTTACAATGTGAAGACATTCAAGGAGTACAAATCACTTTTATAGGCGTGGGCAAACGGAAAATGTATAAAAATTAACATTTATTAGAAAATACAATATTTATTACACACGACGTGCACAAAATATGGGTTTGCAGCAGTTACTGGTCAGTAAACACTGCAGAGTGCTAGTAAATGTATTTTTCTCCAAAAGTTGAAATATCTAAAAACATTTATAGAAGCGCTTTACAAAAACCAGTGGTACAAAGACAGATGTGACCTGCACATGGTTTTAGAAGAAATCATGTCTGGACCTGACTTGGTAAACCGGCCTGAGTTTTCACCATCTGGAGAAGGAGTTACATCCCTGAAGATCCTCATGCTGAAAGCTTGAAAGTCCTTGTAAACATCACTTGCTGACCTGTCACGTCAGGTGACCCAAATGACCCGAAGTCCACAGAACTGCTAGTTACGACCTCAGTAGTGATAGACTCTGATCTGGTTGTTGTCGTCCAGGCCCAGCTGGACCAGTCTGTTAGAGGAAGCAGCTCGATAGCGAGTGAACAGCGGTCTGGAGGGTGGAGTTAAAGACAACGGGTGAAGATGACAACACTTTTTCCTGACTTAATGGAAATCTGAAAATGTTGAAAGCTCTTTGATCTGTTTCTCTTTAATAATTTATTTCAGGTAAAAATATTCTGAGACCAAAGCGAAGTTTTTGCGTCTCAGTTTTCTGCAGGAAGGATACATGCTGGGGTCTTTCCTCCGCATGTTCAGCCACTTCTTGTTACTGTCAATCAGCCCCTGCAGCCTCTGACCGTCCAGCTCCTCTGATTTCTGCATCACCTGATGACTGCGGCTGTGAAGACTAACACACATGGAAACACACACTTTCAGCTCACTGTCAGGCAGCAATCAACCGTTTGACCAAAAGCAAAAGGCGTCTGTACCTGACGGGAGTGTATGATGGATAAGACGGGACGGTCCTCAAAGTGCTGGAGGCCACCGGGTCAGCAGCTGCTCCTGCAGAACAGAAGAACTGCTCAGAACCAACAGGAGGGACTAACCGAGCCCAGATGTCCAGCTTTTAATTTGACCTTTGACCTACCAGGGAATATCTGGCTCCACCTGCTGTTCATGAAGTCTCCTGGGGCAATCAGCCCGCTGCTGATGGAGGTGCTGAACAGAGGGGGCGCTGCAGAGCCGCTCCACAGCCTCTCAGACAGAGACGGCGCTAAAGAGCTGGAGGCCAGGCTGGGCCCCTGTGGGAAGACGGGCGCAGAGGCGGGAGCTGGACCCCACGCCTCTGTCCCAAACCGCTGAGGCAGCGGCATGGAGAAGGTGGGGAAGAGTGGGCTGCTCTCCTTCTGGGTCAACGAGCCCAGAGCGGTCAGAACGCTGTCCAGCTGGGTTGAGATGTGCTGCAGCGACTCGGCTAACTCCTGGACTTTGGCTGGCACGGTGGGATGATCTCCTGATGAGGGGAGGAGGAGAGATGAAGGGATGAAGCAGAAGCTCTATTAGCATGGTAACACACAGGACGGAAATAAAACAATAAGCTGATTGTTGTTGTTTTTCAAGCTTTTTATTCCAGCAGCGCTGTTGACTGTTGCAAACGTTTGGGTTTCCTTAGACAGAAAACTTTTCACCAGTGACTGAATTTGAATTTGTTTTAATTCTAAATGATGCATTTCTATGTATAAATCAAATACGTTCGTCTTTTAAATCAACTGGAGGTGACCGCCGCTCTGATCCGCTCACATCATACAGTCACAATTGTTGATGTGTTGATAATGTTTTTATGTTTTCATGATGTAAACTATTCTGAAGTGCGTTGTCATTGTGAAGTGTTGCGATGTGTGTGTGTTACCTGTCCCATTCTGCGGCTCCACGGCGCTGCTGATGTCTGACCCGGTCACATCAAACGTCACCTTCCTGTCAGGAAGCTGAGACGAATCCTCAAACATGGCCTGAAGGAACACGCCAACAAACACGGCTGCTGTTGACTATGGAATTGGACTCACGCAAATGACAAAATGTGCCAGATTAAAAAGAGAGATTTGTGACCCAAATATTTCATTTTCAAACTTTCATTGAATCAGCTGAGAAGAATTATGTATATAATAAGCAAAGGAGATATGTTTAGTGTTTTTTTTTTGGTTTCCTGACTTCGTCAGCCATGGAGCTCTCCAGCTGCTGCAGCTGCTCCTCCTTTCTCCGCAGAAGAGAGTTTCCTCTCTGAACCGTCCGCTGAAGCTCCTCCACGTCTCTGGCCTCCTGACAGAACCGGAAACACCAGTCGGTTTTCAGTGGCGCATTTCTCAAAAAGCAGCCCGATGTTTGACGTGTTTACAAGAGGAGTGGGAGGGTTGCACTCCAGCCTGCACCTGCTGGATGCTCCTCATCCTCTCCTCACTGGGTCCTCTGAAGCCGGGGTCCTGGCTGCTGCTCGTCTGGGCTGCCCGCAGAGCTGCCTGCCTCTCCATCAGTCGGCTGCTCTCCCGCTCCAGGAACTGCTTGGTCTTCTGGATGGAGGCGCCGTGTGAGGAGACGTACTGACGCAGCCTAGGAACAATTTGATCGCGGTTATTTTACGTTTTCAGCAAATCATCAGGTTGATGCGCTGAGTTTCGTTCCTGCTTACTCGTCGATGCTGCACTGGCTGTCAGCTACGGGAGAGAGAGGCGAGTCCAACTCCTCCACCTGGAATGATGAGTCTATCCTGTCATCAGAGGGCGCTGTTGCTCTCTCTTCTTTATTCTTGTTCTGCCCTGATTGGGGCAAAGTGCTTCCATCTTGAGTTTGTTCCAGCTCACTGAAAAAAATGTTGAGATTTTGTTTTAAGGAGTTACCTTTTAGATGTTATTTTTTAAAATTCTTTTATTTCTTTCATATAAACCAGCAGTGGTAGTTTTGCACCAACACTTGTGTGGAACTCAAGGCCCGCGGACCAAATCCGGCCCACCAAGGCTATTTATGTGTCATTCAAGACTATAGAGGGGCGCACAAGAAGAACTTCAAGATAACTGACATGTGCTTAAATTTTATTTTATCAGTCAAATCAAATCAGTTTTTATTTGTATGGTATCAAATAACGTCAATGTGAAAACATGTGTATCAATACATTGTGCCATAAATAGCTCTTTGAGGACATTCATCATTTTCATGTTCCCTGAAACGGCAATGAGCTCGACACCCTGATCTGTACCGTACCTGACTCTGCAGGTGAGGCGGTCACATCTCTCCTGCAGCAGCGCCACCTTGCTCTCCAGCCGCTCCCTGTCCTCCCGGGCCTTCTTGTTCTCCTCCCTGGCTTTGTCTCGCTCTTCTCTCATCCTGTCCCTCTGGTCCTTGGTCTCGTCCCTCTCCTCCCTGGCTCTGTGCGAGAGCTCTCGGGCTTGTGCCACCTCCTCCCTCAGCCTCTGCAGCTCCTCACTCAGCTGGTCCCTTTCCCGGACCAGCTGAGGGAAAGCCTGGAAAGACACGTGCGAACGCAAAGTCGGTGGACAGCACAAAAAACAAAAGAAATTGGTGAGAAAAACTCGCACCTCTAACTGCCTGTCTAAGTCTTTCTCGTCTTCGCCGAGTTTCTTCCTCCTCCGATTAAGATCTGCAGCCTGACAGGAGGAGGATATGATCAGTTCATGTAGCCAGGATTTAGGATTTGTGTTAAGAGAAAACAGTGCTTTGCAAAAGTATTCATACCCTGGAACTTTTAAACATTTTGCTTCATCACAAACACCAACTTCAGGTTTTTACTTCAAGTCTCACAAACTTCACAGGGTGAAGTTTTTCATCCGCAAAAGCAACCAATTGTGTTAAAATGGTCTAGTCAAAGTCCAGATATGAATCCAAGTGGGAATCTGAAATCTTTTGAAAGCTATGTCTTATATTCTGTCCATATTACAATTATCCACTCTTTTTGTTAGTTCACTGCAAAAATGCAAAATCGTAATAATTTATTTACTTCCGGTTTGCCATGCGGACCGGGTGGACGTAGCAACGGACTGCTCCGGAAAAATCCCGCCTTTTGACTAAATTCACCCCACAGAAAGAAAGCTAATTCTACGCCGCCTACCAACATGAAAACATCCTGGTTAGTGTTTTTGATTATTTGCCCACGAGTGGTGGCCTTTTAGAGCGCGAAAGGAAGCAAGAAGCAGGACGCTAGCTTAACGCCGGAGGCCATCACCGCACTGCCTCAGCAACACGGAGAGCATCTGAAATCTGACTTCAAATCTTCCGCCAACACGCTCAGCTCCAAGACAGAGCAGGTGCGGCAGACCCTGGAGCAACAGGCAGAGCGAGTCTCCTCTTCAGAGCTCGCAACAGAGGATCTGGGCCAGCGAGCCTCGAAGACTCGTAAAGTGCTGCTCTGCGCGAAGACAACGCTAAGCTAAAAGACAAGACGACTGAACAAACGCATCCTCTGTCTGCCCGAAGACACTGAAAGGCTGCTTTTCCTCTGGGCGCAGCAGGGACCGTAAATATAGCCTGTTGTCACATTACCTTATTTCCACTGGACTTTATGAATGGAAGGGTAGCTCCATTAATACCTGTTTGTTCTGTAGTAACAGTATCTGGAGCCTCTTTCTATGCCATTTGTTATG